TTCCTCTGCATTTTTTCTCTCCCTAGTCCAAAGGCCTGTGTTGGAAAATACAGTTGCCTAGGATTCTGTTCTGACTCCAACAGAGGCAGGTGGCATTACAACCAATCAACATGTGTTTTCATTTGTGACCCTTTCTCTGGACTCCTAAAGGGCAGAGACCCAAGAGTTGTTTCTCTTTCTGGCTTCATCTCCATATTTTGGGAGTGAATGAATAACCCTTGTGTTAAACAGTCTCTAAATTGACTCCCAGTGATCCTCATCCTCCAATGGATTTTCATGCGCAGGTGTAGCCCCTGTTGCCCCTTGAGTGTGGGTAGACCTGGTGTCTTGCTTCTAATGAGTAGAATATGGCAAAAGTGACAGGATTTCACTTTCAAGGTTAGGTTACAGAAAGACTATATCTTCTATCTTTATTGCTATCTTTTGTGCGCATGCTTTCTCTCTCCTTCATTTATTCTCTCTCTCTCTCTCTCTCTCTCCCCCCCCCACTTGCTCTGAGGGAACAAGGTGTCATGTCTGAAGTGGCCTTATGAGACACCCACATTGCAAGGAACTGATGTCTTTGGCCAACAGCTAGTAAGGCCTGCCAACAGCCACATGATGAATTGGAAATGGACACTCTGAGGCCTGCCAATAGCCACCAGTGAGTTTGGAAGCGAGTCCTCCTCCAATCAAACCTTGATGTAACTAAAGTCCCAACCAACACCTTGATTTCAGTATTGTAAGAGACCCCAAGCCAGAGGACCCATTAAGCACATCCAGATTTCTGACACATAGAAACTGTGAAATATTAATGTTTGTTGTTCTAAGCTGCTAAGTTTGGGGGTGATTTTTAATACATCAACAGATTACTAATACAACCTTCAAGCAACAAAGAAAATAGTCCAACATTTTCATGATATAAATAACCTCCACTGGGTGGGGCCTAATACATAACAGCACTTTAGCATGGCCTCCTCTTATTCAATCTAGATATCTCTAATGTTCATAACACTTGAAAGTCTGCATTAGGGACAACACTGTTCCAATTTGGGAAATAATCCAACACTTCAAACTAACCTGAAAAGAAGTCAATGGCAACCTGGGGACTGGAAATTCTAAGTCCTCTGTGTAATGAAGTTACAAGTTGTCTGGTAAAAGAGAGGCCAGAAAGGGAAGTAGATGCCATGCTACAAGCTGCCCTTTCTGGTTTTGCATGAGTAATTCTTGAAGCTGGTGTTGCACGGCAACCACAGGATTGTGGCACTGCAAAGGTGGCCATTTTCAAATATGGCCTGACATCAGACTGGAATTCAACTCGATGAAGCTGGAACTTGGCCAAAATAAGTAGTAGCATTTAAATAATTGGGGCCAATTAATAGCCTCACTTTTCTGTGGGACCACATGACTATGATGTGAAGAAATAAAAGCTTTTGTTGTTTTAAAGGGCAGGGGCAACTAGAAGTTTTGCAGCAGACACTTAACATTTTCCACCCTTAGCTCACCAAAGAAGATATTAATCAGTTAGTGGCTTCAGGAGTTGGGTGTGGAAGGTGTTTGGGAAAGAAAATTAATGTGAACCAATGTCTCACAGAACCTAAAACAGACTAATCAGCCTTACATCGTAAGCTTATTCTCCTGATCTAACTTATCTCTGAAATTACAGCATTCCATATCAGGCAAGGTACGGGAAGCTACCCCACCTTTTCAAACAGCAAATTCTGATTTTCCAGAATAACTTAGGAGAGGATTTTTTTATAATAATCTTTAAAAAACACTTTCCAATAAATTGGGGTTTGCTCCTCTGATTTTTATACTTGTCTGCCTGAGACAGAGCAAGAGGACTCTTATCTGTGATATTTTCCACCTGGGATGGACTTTCTGCATCTTATGTGTAGATTGTTTTAAAAATGTTTCATTCATCTTTTGTAGTTTTAAGGGCTTTCTTTTTTTCTCTTTCTAAATAATTACCCTATTACCTAACATCAGGGAGCTAGCTGTCTGCATCTAGAATTGAAGCTTGTCAACTAAACGGATTTCAGTTGTATTTCAGATGTAGTATTTCATCCCCTCTGTTTTTATTTTATTTGATGACAGTGCTTGCAATTTCTCCCTCAATCAGCAAAGATGACTTAGATCTGGGGCCCGATAAATAAGCATGCAAATTTGATTTAGAAAAGAAGGATAACCTCAAGTTCCCGGAGAGAAAAAAAGGTTTTCAACTCCCCACCATACACACTTTAAATGACAAAGCAAAGCAGCAGCATTGTCCTCAGACAACATCTTTCAAAGCAACATCAATGCTCCCCGATGTTAGGTAATACGAATAAAAATTCAGAAAAAAAAAGAGGAGCCCTTAAGAAAAATGCAAGGAAGGAAACATTTTAAAAGCAAATATCATTAATCCTTCATATTACCTTGAGGCAGAAACCGGCAAAGAAATTTAAAATACTGCCGCGGATGGGAGAGGGAAAAGATGCTTTGGAAGAATGTGATGAGGACTCCCGTTGAGGACCCGATGGAGAATGTGAGCGTCTGACGCCCTACACATCGGCCCAACTGACTCAGCCCTCTAGACCCATTAACAAAAGTGGGAAACGAGCAAGAACTGTGAAGTGGAAGGAAAGATGCCCAGTAACTCAGTAATAGAAAATAAAAGAAAAACAGATGAAGCCAAAATCTCCAGTGGAAGGGAAGAAGCCCAGTGAATTGTCTCCAATTTCAGGATCAGTGTGTTTTCTCGCTGGAGAAGAGGCTCCCGAGGGCAGCGGCAGAGACAGCGACTGCTGCGAACAGACGACCTGACCAGAAACCCCTCGGGGCTCCAGCACTTGGAACCGAGACTGGCAGAAGGAAGGGCTCGGCCGGGAGTCACGTTTTTTAAAGCATAGAATTTCTCTGCAACTGTGTGTGCATGTGCATGTGTGACAGAGAGAGAGGCAGAATTTTTCCTTTCTCGACATGTCTCTTTCCTGCATGGCAATGTCTGATATTCCTCGCCGTCCCGCGAGAGGGGAGAGGCCCCCGCGCCCCCGCCTGCGGTCACTTCTGACCTCGCGGAGAGTGATCCGAGAGCGCGCGCGCGAGCGCCAGTGCTTTGAGCAGGGCGAATATTTGACGGAACAAAAGAACGCTTGCCAATCAGAAAACGCTACCCGAGAACAAGGATACCCTCTCTTTGTGTTCTGAAAACTCTTCAATTAGCAAATGCCCTGGTTTCTCATACGCATTAAAACATTTCTACCCATATTTCCAAGTACAGGATCCAATTATTGCTTCTGCAACGAAGATGGGGTCCTAAATGACCACACGCCCGAAGAACTAGGGAAAACAGGGCAATTCAAGGCATGCTTTAAACCGTACAGTGTTCCTCTGCACTCGGTCTCAGGTTACTTTTATAACCATTCACTGCACCACCACCACCACCACCCCGTCCACGACAATTAGTTTTCCCATAACTTCACTAAAGCTACATCAGATCCTTATACTCGGCCGTGCGCGCGGTTGGGGCGTCCTGGGGCTGGGGGGTCCCCCGCTCCAGGCGCTCCGGTTGGATCCGCTTTTCCTCCCGCCTAAGTGGGCCCCCTCCATCCGACTCCGATTTCTCCTCGGACGCCGCCCCTCCTCCTTTTTACAACCAGGAATGGGAATGAGAAGGGACTGTGACCTCGCGTCGTCTGTTTGGGTCTGGGGAGAGAAAAGCGATCTGAGAGATGCACCCGCTTTTGCCCTATATCAAAGCCTACATTTAGGACCCGGCTTCCTAAAAGTCCTGGCGAAACCCAGCATTTTCAGACCAAGTAGCGCTAACGTGACTCCGGGTCACGTCTCTGTCTGCTCAGGCTCTGCATTATTCTCGGCTTGGTTGTCCCTGCAAAAGTCTATTCCCGATGCACCATTCAGGAATGTGTATTATAGTGCGCTCGGAAAAGGAACAAATCTTTCAAGCAAACCCCCTTTCTGGTGCGTATACCTCCCCCCACCCCCGAGCGAATTCAGGGTAAAAGTTTTTCTTAACTTTTCTCCCCCAGCCCCCTGCCCCTCCCCTCAGGAATCCGCCCAGAGCGCTGCTGACACCGCCTCTCAGGTTCCCTCGCCTGCCCCTTCCGACTTCCACCCAATCCAGAGGCAGCCACACAGAAAACAAACGCTGCTATTGGGCATCCCTGAAACTCAAGGACCCGCCCCCGGAGTGGTTTGTGAATGGGGGGAGGGGAGGGGGTGGGGCAGCCCGGAACCCTGCTATCCCGACGCTTCTTCTGGCGAGTTGCGCGGCTCCGAGGCGTTACTCTGCGCTTTCTCTTGGCCGGCGGCGGTGGAGGCGGCGGTGGGCCCCTGGACTCACGGGCCAGGGCTGCGCAGGGCTGGAAAGGCCAGGCCCAGGCCGCGGGCACTCGGACCTAGCAGCTTTGGACGTGGTGCAACTGGATTTCGAAAAGAACTCGCTGAGCTCTTGGTTCCGAGGCACCCACCGGACTCAGAGCGAGAATCAGCCGTTTGGCTGAAACTTGGAGCCGAGCTTTTGGAGCTGAAGGAGCGGGGAGTGTTGAAGACGAAGAAGGAGGCGGCGGCAAGCAGGGGGGAGGAGGCGGAGCAGCACCGCCAAGGCGGCGACGCCAGGCTCTCCCCTGCGGGGGGCTGGACTTGGTTTGGGGGGCGCGCGCGTTGCTGTGCGCTGTGGGTCGGAAGACTTGGGCAAACTTTCAAAGGTAGTAACTGGAGACGCTTGTTGCTCCTCGCCGCAGAAAAAGCCGCACCGTTAAGTCGCGGCAGGAGGAGAAGGCGGCGCCCCTGGCCCAAGCCAACGAGTTTGGGCCCCCGGCGGCCGCACGACTGCCGGGTGGAGGCGGCGCAGGCACCTCAGCTGCAGCGCCCTCGTCTCTGCGCCGCCCACGGCCCGGCCCCGGCGCCGGGAGGACTCTCATGAGCCCGGCGCAGTGGCGCCTCCCGGGATCCAAGCCTCTCTTGGCTGCCTTGTAGTGCTTCTCCAGCTGAGAGCGCCGCTGCACCCACGACCGGTGATGCGGGGTCCCGGCGCGGCCATGCCGCGCTCTCTCGTGGGCCTATGCACCTTGGTGTTCGCGCTGTTGGGTGCGCTCGTGCCCGCGGGTGCCAGGGCGCAGCCGTACCACGGCGAAAAGGGCATCTCGGTGCCGGACCACGGTTTTTGCCAGCTCATCTCCATCCCGCTGTGCACGGACATCGCCTACAACCAGACCATCCTGCCCAACCTGCTGGGCCACACCAACCAAGAGGACGCAGGCCTCGAGGTGCACCAGTTCTACCCGCTGGTGAAGGTGCAATGTTCCCCCGAGCTGCGCTTCTTCCTGTGCTCCATGTACGCACCCGTGTGCACCGTGCTGGATAAGGCCATCCCGCCGTGCCGCTCTCTGTGCGAGCGAGCCCGCCAGGGCTGCGAAGCGCTCATGAACAAGTTCGGCTTCCAGTGGCCAGAGCGACTGCGCTGCGAGAACTTCCCAGTGCACGGTGCCGGCGAGATCTGCGTGGGCCAGAACACGTCCGATGGCTCCGGTGGCCCGGGCGGCGGCCCTACCGCCTACCCCACCGCGCCCTACATGCCGGACCTGCCCTTCACCGCGCTGCCCCCGGGGGCTGCTGACGGCCGGGGCCGTACCGCCTTTCCCTTTTCCTGCCCCCGTCAACTCAAGGTCCCTCCCTACCTGGGCTACCGCTTCCTGGGCGAGCGCGACTGCGGGGCCCCGTGCGAGCCTGGCCGCGCCAACGGCCTCATGTACTTTAAAGAAGAAGAGAGGCGCTTCGCCCGCCTCTGGGTGGGCGTGTGGTCGGTGCTTTGCTGCGCCTCCACGCTCTTCACTGTTCTCACCTATCTAGTGGACATGCGGCGTTTCAGCTACCCCGAGCGGCCCATCATCTTCCTGTCGGGCTGCTATTTCATGGTAGCGGTGGCGCACGTGGCCGGCTTCCTCTTGGAGGACCGCGCCGTGTGCGTGGAGCGCTTCTCAGATGACGGCTACCGCACGGTGGCGCAGGGCACCAAGAAGGAGGGCTGCACCATTCTCTTCATGGTCCTCTACTTTTTCGGCATGGCCAGCTCTATCTGGTGGGTCATCCTGTCGCTCACTTGGTTCCTGGCTGCCGGCATGAAGTGGGGTCACGAGGCCATCGAGGCCAACTCGCAGTACTTCCACCTGGCGGCGTGGGCGGTGCCTGCAGTCAAGACCATCACCATCCTGGCCATGGGCCAGGTGGACGGGGACCTGCTCAGCGGGGTGTGCTACGTGGGCCTGTCCAGCGTGGACGCGCTGCGGGGCTTCGTGCTGGCGCCCCTGTTCGTCTACCTCTTCATCGGCACGTCCTTCCTGCTGGCCGGCTTCGTGTCGCTCTTCCGCATCCGCACCATCATGAAGCACGACGGCACCAAGACGGAGAAACTGGAGAAGCTCATGGTCCGCATCGGCGTCTTCAGCGTGCTCTACACCGTGCCGGCTACCATCGTCCTGGCCTGTTATTTCTACGAGCAGGCCTTCCGCGAACATTGGGAGCGCACCTGGCTCCTACAGACGTGCAAGAGCTATGCGGTGCCCTGCCCGCCCGGCCATTTCCCGCCCATGAGCCCCGACTTCACTGTCTTCATGATCAAATACCTGATGACCATGATCGTGGGCATCACAACTGGCTTCTGGATCTGGTCCGGCAAGACCCTGCAGTCTTGGCGCCGCTTCTACCACAGACTCAGCCACAGCAGCAAGGGGGAGACTGCGGTATGAGCCCCGGCCCTTCCCCCACCCTCCCTTCCTCGGCTCTCGAACCGGGCTCTGGAACCGAGGGAAAGGCGCGGTGGGGAAAGAACTTCTGGGTGGGGGGCTTGTTTCTGTAACCCCCTCCCCCTCCAGTGAGAGGTGACTTGGAAGTGAGAAGACTTAATGTAGACGTGGGACGAGGGGTGGGTTTGGGTGGGAGGCCCGAGTGGAAAGATCGTTCGGGTGAAAAGACTTCTGGCAAAGACTTGCAGGATAATGATAATGAAACTAATAATGATGGCGTTTATCGTGTACGGTACGGACCGACCTGGCCTCTTGAGAAGAGAAGATGGCTCTGAGTTCTTCCCAGATCCGGCTGAACTGGGACTGTGAGCGATTCCCCTGCTGCAAGACAAGTGGCCTGTCCTCCATCCTGTGAGGCCCGGGTGAAAAGGTACAGCTCTGTCTGCAGCGGCTGCTTTGTTGGGAAAAGGGAGGACTCCCTGCGGTGCCCTTGTCAAGCGGTGGTCAAACCATAATCTCTTTTCACTGGGGCCAAACTGGAGCCCAGATGGGTTAATTTCCAGGGTCAGACAGTACAGTCTCTCCTCCCCTGCCCCCTCCCGCCTGGTTCGCCCCTCCCCACCACTCCTTTCAAGTCTTGTAAAATAAGCATTGGAAGTCTTGGGAGGCCTGCCTCCTAGAATCCTAATGTGAGGATGCAAAAGAAATGAAGATAGCTTTTCGAGAGGATGCAAAGGAGATGAGTAGTAGGTATTTCTGCTATTTTTAAAATGGTCTGTGGAAGGCAGGAGGAAGAAACAAGGGTGTTTTATTTGGTTTAATACTCTGAAAAGAAGTGATGACTTGTTGCTTTTCAAAGCAGGAATGCATTTTTCCCCTTGTCTTTGTCGTGAGAGACAAAAGAGGAAACAAAAGTGTCTCTCTGCAAAGGCATAACTGTGAAGACAGCAACTTTTATAGGCAAATCGCGCAAATCTGAGGTCTCTTTGGATGTTAATTCAGTTGAGATAAACATTCCTTTTTAAGGAAAAGTGAAAGGGCCTGTCTGTCCACACCCCCATTGGGTCAGAGGTTCTGACTTGGCTCAAGGAAATGCAGAGGGTTTTGTTTGTTTTACATACATTTAATTCAGAACACATGGTCCAATGGGCTCTGTAAAATGTTTAGGGTTATCTCTCCCTTCATTTTTTTTTTCTTCATATAAACCTGCATTTAGCTTCTCTCTTTTTTTTTTTCAATTTGAATCCTTCCAGCTAAAAGGAAGAGCATAATGTCTCAGCCTCCATAGTATAGGAGAGTTACATTTAAAAAGTAAAAACAATTTTTTTGTCCTGTTTTTGTAGTCCCACAAATCCACTTATAAAACATCATGTGTGCACTGACCCTGTCTTTGTGTGGCTGGGTGGGGAGGTGACCTCCAGAAATGATAGTGAATGAAGAGGACAGTTCAAATTGTGGGCCCCCGTTTTAAGGAAAATCATTAAAAGAAGGTGAACTTCAAAGTCATTCTGGAGTTCTTTGAAATGTGCTGGCTGATTTAAATTTATTAATCTTAAATCATGTACTTTTTTTTCTATGACAGAACTCTGATTCTTTTGCATAATGGTCTAAAGCTGAGCAGAGAATCATGGGAGCCAGCCTTACTCCAGCTTTGACACCATCCTGCCATCTTGCAACACTGTCCTATTTCTCAAAACAGTTTTTAAATGCTGTTTTAAACCATGTTTAAATCGTAGAGGGTACTGTCAGGAATACAAGTTACTTCATATAATCTAATGTTCAATTGAGTGGAGCTGCTTTTTATATTCAAGTTAACCTTGGCCTTGTGTTTCTTAATCCTCCCAAATTGTCTTATTTGTCAGATTTTTTAAACTCCCACCATGCAGTTTTTCAGGATATTTTTTTGTTGTATCTCTTGCATGTGAAATTTGTAAAATAGAGACAAGTGCAGTATGTATATTTTGTAAATCTCCCATTTTTGTAAGAAAATATATATTGTATTTATACATTTTTACTTTGGATTTTCATTTTGTTTTGCCTTTAAAAGTCTACAAGGAAGCCCCACTTTATCACATGTACAGATCACAAATAAATTTTTTTAATACAGAGTGAACAATTATTTAGTTTACAGTGCCTATATATCATTAAGCCAAAGAACTAAACTTTGTGTTATGGAAACAAGGTGGAGGGGCACCACTGGATGGGTCTCTGGAAGAGGAAAAGGTGATATATTAGTGAGGTCTTTTTTTCCTTGCCTTTTAAAATATGGTGCGATGAATGCTTTAATTGTCTCTTGATTTTTTTTTTCTGTTGTTGCTGCTTCCTGCCACCCTCCATACCACCCACCACGCACTCCCCTAAGCCTTTTCACATCCTGCTTTGGATAACTTGAAGGTACAGAATAAGCATCCTCTTTAAAGAGGTGCTATCTGATCCACATTTTTACTACCCTTCAGAGGTGAAGTACATATCTGAAAGAGGACTACAAGATATTTTTGGTCTGCTTTTCTTGGGAAGAATTCAGGGAGTTCTTTTTTTTTTTTTTAACTGATTTGTGTTTATGTATCCTGATGAACCTTATCTAAATTGTTAATACTTAAGTTCTTTGGCTTCAGGATGGCTGGGAAAGTCAGTAGACAATTCCAGATATCAGGAACCTTGCACATGGAGCATTCCTCAGCTATAAGCTTTACTCTACCTTCTAGGTCACTGGAACCAGAGGTCAAGTGATTCCCCGAGGTGACAGTTGAAGGTGACAGTGACTCAGCAGCTCTGGCAGGAATAGACTCTGCCTAACCCCAGGATGGCCTCAGAAGTCACCAAAGCTATTCTTTCCTCTGGTCGGAGAGACTAACTTCGGAATCAGATTAGACTAAGAAGCCTCCACTATCCAGGCACTTTGATATTAAACAGTCTCTCAGGGAAATGATAAAGGCAATCTGAATACTTCCAATTCCAAGCTCACTTCCTTGCTTCCCCGCCCCCCCCCTTCTTTAATTCAGGTGCCTGTTTCCTGGCTTTTCATAATGTAGTTGCCTCATTCTTGGGCAGCTATGGAGACCCAGCAGCAGACTGGATGCTGCTGTTTTCCTTCCCTTCTTCGGCCCTAAGTTTCTGTACTTCTAAAGCTCAACAGAAACAGTTCTGTTTTTGTTTTAATTAACAGGCTCACACACATGGCTGGTGTGTTCTACAAACACACAGAATGAAAATCAGTGACAGACGGTCCTCCCCAGGAGGAGGAAGTCACACCGCTGCACTCTGGGCAGAGCAGCTTTAAGATCCTCCAGGGTTTTCATCACAATGGGTGTGAGGTCATCTCAACCTGTGAAGATTTGGGCATCAAGGAAGGGGAAAAATAGCGACTTTAAGTCTCTTAAGGTTTATCCAGTTTTTGCTCATAAAATGACACCTTTTAGGTTAAAGCATGCCTTTTTTAACACCACACTAATACCGCCTGTTAAGAATGTTTGCTTTTAGAGTAGGTGGAAAGCTCCCAACAGGGTTTTTTTTGCTCACAAATTAACTGCTAACGGCACTTAGACCCTTCTGTGGGAAGAGCTGCGTGACTGCTCCTATAAATGTGTCCCTTTCCTCTTTTCAGCTCTGCCTGGTCCTTGGAGGCTCTCAAAGATTGAAGAGCATTGCTCTTTAGCGAGGGAACAAAGACTGTGTATGAATAAATTACTACCTGCTCTTTTGTAAGCAAAGATAAAAGTGCTCAGTTTAATTCATCTCACATTGTGGTGTGTCCTTATGTAGTAGATTTTTACCTAAGAATTTTAGAAGCTCAGGGATTTTTTAAGGGGGTGCCTCTAAGGCAGAAAATATGAAAGGCAGCGTGTTTGTGCAAGGGCACGTGTAAAGGTTAAGAAAAACATTGGCAGGAGTTTGGTGTTAATCCCTAGATAAGGAGTAGAAACACTTGTGAAAATTTTCTGCAGTTTATAAAACAAAATTGGTCTACACAATAACTGCACGCAACACCTGATCTTTTAAAGTAGGTATGTGAGATCTTGACAGGAAATAAATGTCTTGTCTCTTACCATTAAAGAAAAAGTCGAATTTTTAAAAATGTACTTCATAGAAAATAGTGATATTAAGAAATTTTCTGGGTAGAACTATAAAAGCATAACAGCTGTAGGTTTGAACTTGTAATTATACTGGGAAATTCTCTTCCAACTCTCCCATCTTTAATTTCACTGAAAAGGCAGGTGGCTATTTATAGATGGTATATTTTTATATATGCATATGTGGATGGCGAATAACAGTCCACAGGCTCCAGGAAATCCTAGAAGAGACCAAACACAGTCCAAAGTGGACTTAAACAATTCATAGATCTGTTCTATTTTTCTCTTATTTCACCCTCTGTGGCCATTGAACTGCTTTCATAAAACTTGGTTCTCCAGCCCTTTTCAATTTGTGCCACTTCTTACATCTCAATCTGTATTCCTCACATTTCACACAAAAGCGAACTAGTTAAAAGGGTACCATTAAAATGTCAGGTCTTGGGTAAACACACATTGTGACTCTTACTCGCTTTGGTTAAAAAAGTTCAGTCACTTGGAATTTTCTCAATTAGTGCCACAGTCTTAGGAAAAAGGAAGTTTGACCAAGGCAATAGTTTATTATAAGTGACCCAGTTCAAGAAGTACCGACCAAGCAGCCACTACATAAAGGTGCTATGGCGGAACTGGTGTGATTACAAATAAAAGTAAAAGACACAGTCCACCTGAAAAACTTATTACATAGTTCAGGGTGAGGAGGGCACTCCCAAGAAGGAGTAAGCGACTAATTATATTTCTAGACAGAGCTTGGCAAGTGCCATTATAAAGCCCAAATGCTATTTAGAAGAATATTACTTGACATTTGGTGGCATTTACTGTTTTTAAAAGCCACTTTCACATTCATTATTTGACTTTATCCTCACAATTATCATAACAACCCCATAATGTGGGATAATTCCCATTTTAAACATGAAAGTTATTATCCCTAACCCTCTTTCAGAAAACTTCAAACTAACAATAAAATTGAAGCTATTGTGAGGGATTCAAAAGCAGTTAGCTGGGGGCCCACTTCACTTTACAAGGAACTTTAGGGAGTTCAAGTCCACCACTTTGTTATTTAACTTCCTTTAATACTTCACACCTGCGTATCTCTTTATGCAGCTTGG